CAATATATATATATATAAATCAAACACACACACACACACATGTATGTATATGTATATATATATATATATATATTTATATATTGTGTGTGTGTGTGTCTGTGTGTGCGTGCGTTTGTGTGTATAAATGGTTTGCTTTAGACGGTACCAAGAGACAGAATGTAATGATAGATCTGACATTTGTTTGCGTTCGTAAATGATACCCTCCCCCGTCTCGTGATTCTTGATGGAGCTATCTCTGTCTGTGGTAGGTGTATCACGGTGTATATATCAGTCGATGGATGTAGGTGGTTTTAGTGAGAATTGAATGAATGAATGAATGAATGAATGAATGAATGAATGAATGGATAAATGAATGGATGAATAAATGAATGGATGAATGAACGAACGAATTCATGGCTGAGAGGTTACAAGAACTAGCTAGTAATAGTATGAATGAATCATTGGGTGAAGGTAAGAGATAACGAGCAAATGAATGAATGGATATGTGAAAGGGATGAATGCATGAAAGAAAGAAAGAAAAAATGGATAGAATAAATTAAACGAATGAATGAATGGAATGGAATGTTCCATTGAATGGTTGAATGTGAACGCCAGAAAAATTAACAAATGGTTAGCAATAATTACAAAGGAATACCGATAATGAACGTATTTAATAGGTATGCATTCATACCTATATGTATAATACGGATGCACGCATGCATGCATGCACGCACGCACGCATGCATGCATCTATTTAATGCATATGTGCACAAATAACATGCGTGAGCGCATGCTGTAACGCGCTGTTTGCCTATATCTCACTGAGACAAAAAATGATCTCCAATGAACGTTTAAGAAAATATTTTGAGCATCATCATCATAATCATCACCACCGGCATCATCATCATAATTTATCTCCCCCTCCTTTCCTGACACGACTCTTGCTGCTGTAACTATTGTTATTATTGTTGTTGTTATTGTTGTTGTTATTGTTGTTGTTGATACTTTTACTTTTGCTATTTCCATAATCTAGCATCTTGCAGTAGGCATTTTTCTTAATCAAAACATTGTGGATACTTTTACCGCTATTGTTATTACTGTTGCTGTTATTATTATTAATATTGTTGTTGTTGCTGTTGTTGTTGTTGTAGAAATTAATCTCGTCATCACTGGCATGCAGTCTTGTGCTTAAAAGGACCTTCTGGCACTCGACGCACTCCACGTCCAGCTTGAGTAGATCCCTCGTCATGGACTTGGAACCAGTCAGAAAAGCAGACGACGACGGTGCTGGCAGCATTGTTGTTGTTGGCGCCGCCGACGCTAACGATGACGTCATTTGTTGCTGTTGATATTGGTGTGGCTTTTGTTGATCAATATGTTGTGGTTGTTGCAGTAGCGTATGATGTTTCTGTTGTTGTTGCTGCTGCTGCTGTTGTGGTGGTAACTGTTGCTCAAATGTCTTGTGAGATCTGCGCTGTGTTGCATCGGCCAGCACACCCGAAGTTTGCAACGATTTTGTATTTAGATTTTTATCTGCAGCAGTCGCCCCTGCAGCTACCACACTCACCGCTAACTTGCCGCAGGGAGCTACTGATGTTGACGACGACGAAGAGGGTGTCGTTGGTGCTGCTGATGACAAAGGCAAGATGTAAACGTGCGATGACTTCTTTGTTGTCTTTAGGGATAGAGGGAAGAGGGATGACGATGCAGAGGATGGAGATGATGCTTGCGGCTGCTGCAGCTGAGAGAACAACTTTGAATGAGTGAATATTGATGAGGAACGACTGGACGATAATGACGACGATGAAGATGACGTAATAGCCGTTGTTGTTGTTGTTGATGATGATGACGATGAAGATGACGTCACGACAAGCCTATTGGCACATGCCTCCACATCACAACTATACACATCAATATTAATGTTATTACTGTTATTACTTACGAAGTTATTGTTGTTGTAAGATAGTTTATTTTGGATAATTTTCTTCTGGTAATGAGATGGATGCTTGCATGGGTGGTATCTGTCCAGTACCGGAGGTTCACAACTTTTAACCATCCTCTCCTCACCAGCATCATTATTATCATTGCTCACATCAACGCCATCATTACCAATGGCGGCAACACACTCGGTGCAGTTAATGTTGTTAATGTCACAATTTCGATTGTAGTTGTCTGTTAAATTGCGCTCGATCTGAGCAGTAAATTTTAAGCTATCATTGTTGTTGATGTTGTTTACGTTGATGTTATTGTTGTTATTCATGTTAATGGCATTATTTTTTGCACTGTTGTTGCTGCTGTTATCGTCGTTGTGGTTGTTTTTCGAAAAGCTATCAGAGACGAATCTAGAAAATAAAGTCCCATGTTGTTGGGGCTGTCTATAAGATGACTTATAATCTTTGTTGCTATTTTTGCTGGCAGAAGTACCATTATTATTATTATTATTATTATTATTATTATTATTGTTGTTGTTGTTATTTTTGCTGATCAGTTGAATTAAATTAGATTTATGTTGTTGTTGTTGTTGGTTTCTGTTGGAGCCAACATCACCACAATCATAATTTTGTTCCTGTATTAAACATTTGCCGGCAACAACATTATCAATCACCTTATAATTATGTTTATTAAAATTATTATTGTTGTTGTTATTATTATTATTATTATAGTTGTTGTTATTATTATTGTTGTTACTCAAATCATTATCATCATCCTTCTTTCCGTAGCTACAACTTGAAAACTGCTGATGCTGCAAGTGCGTTTGCTGTGGTTGAGGCTGATGTTGTTGCTTGCTGTGGTGGTGGTGGTGATGATGGTGGTGGTACCTGTGTATACGTCTGCCCGGCAGGGTGTGGTAGTGGCTGATGTTTTCATTCTCACCACCATTGTTGTTCGCATCCTTGACTTCTCCAGCTGCTGCTAGCAGGTCAGCTGCCTCAACGGCTGAAGTTTTTGATTTGAGGTTTTTGCTGAAAGATGATTTGGCTGCTGCCGACGAGGACGACGGTGCGATCTGATAGTCGTTAGCGTTGAATTGAGCAATTGCGTTGTTGTTTGTCCTGGCTACTGTCGACGACGATGACGAAGAAGATGACGAGGATTTGTCTTTAGCTCTTCCTTCATATCTGTTATTACTGTTGCTGCTAGTAGTCTGGCCAACTGGTGCACCATCTTTGTAACTTGCCGTCAAAGTCTTATAATTTTGGCAAATGTTTCTCTTGGAACTGCCTCCCCAATCAGACTGCAGCATGCCGTTACCCCCCTCAACCTTCAAATGGTTCGATCCATCTCCTAACTTGTTGATGCAGCCTGACTTGATGGCTGACCTGTATGAACCTGAGTTGAGAGCCAGGACAGTGGAAAATGTGGATGAACTCCTCCAGATGAACTCATCTTCGTCGTCGAGGGAGCAACAGGGTGGTCGTCTGCGCTTGTTGTGGTTCGTTGACGTGGTTGTTGTAGTGTCGTCGATGGCTGTCGAGGATTGTTTCTTGCAGCGAGGGACGGTCATGGTGGTTGCTATTGTGGTGGCTGTGGTCGATAGAGATGATGCTGATTTCGTAGCTGAATGCTGTTGCTGATGTTGCATGGAATGCTGGTCCTGATCTTGGAATGAAATTTGGTGTTGTTGTTGTTGCTGGTGCAACTTATTGTTGCTCACGTTCTGTTGTTGCTGGTAATGCTGTTGTGGCGTTACTCTAATCTGTGGTTGTTGTTGTTGCTGCTGCTGTTGCAGCTGCTGTCCATTTTGGCTAGATGCAACGTTGCCTGAGTCTTTCATAGTAGCACTAAGCACAATGGCAGAAGTTTTGTCGAAGCATGTAGCAACAGTCTGCTCGTTGCCCATTGCTGATGATTTTGGTTTTAGTCGAAGACGACTATACTCTGGAATGACATTCCTCCTAGATCGAACTGACCTCGGCCCGCCGCCCCAGTATGACGACGATGAGATGGATCTCCTGTTCAAAAAACGCCGGTGTCTCTCCCTTGAGCTGACGCGATCGAAGCCGAACGTCGCACGACACGTACTGATCTCTTCGGCCGAGTCAATCTCATCATTGTGCTGGTAGCCTTGGCTGTCAAGATACTGAATTGGGAAGAGGATGGATTCATGTTGCTGGTGGTGAGGTTGTTGTTGCTGCTGCTGTTGCTGGTGGTGATGTTGTTGTTCGTTGGTCACCACAACAGCTTGAGTGGAGAAGCCAGTAGAATCTAAGCCACCACCGCCACTGCCGATGGGGACTGGTCCTTCATAACCACCAAACACTTCAGACGGATAGCCAGTAAAGACAGCATTGTCGTGGTGGAAAAAGCCAGCATGCGGTTGGTAGCCTGCAGTGCAAGTGGTTGGCACCCATCAGGAAAAAAATATGAAGAAAAATGTCACCAAAAAGTGCAGAAAATTTATTTCATGCTTCTAAAAATGAGATCCAATGCAAAGCTAGCATCACTTACTTCAGCCAACAATCACTAAAAATCATTCATTGGAAAGTAATCTACGACCTCCCCCTACCAGGCCTATGAATTTGAAACTTATTCATTCACATTGTAGTTGTCCCACATGACCCTTGACCTCCTACTACTAACCCAACTGATCGCCAGGGTCACTGACGTCTTCGATGAAATCATAGCGCCTCCTGTTGCTGCTTCCATTGCTGCTGCTGCTGTTGCCGCCGCTGTTATGGCAGGGTGGCAGCTGTTTGCTGGTGTATATGTAACCGTCTCTGGTGCAGTTGGGACGATCTGAAATAGGCAGGTCGGTCATGCATGTTTGTTTGCCTCCTTGTTTGTTTGTTTGCCTTTATGTTTGTTTGCCTCTTTGTTTGTTTGTTTGTTATTCAGTGAGTGTGTGTATGTAGGTCCGTGGAAATGCATCGACATTTAATAACATAATCACTATTATCAACAACAACAACAAATGAAAAAAAAATCATGGCAAATGCCCCAACACAGGCAACGCCAACAACAACCCTGATAATATTAGCAGCAGCAGCAGCAACAGCAGTAACAACAACATCAACAAAACCTAAAATATTAGATAGACACAAAGGACAGGTCCTCCTATTGATCAGCCAGCCATCAACGCACGACTTGTGAAACTCGTGTCGACAGGGGAGGATTCGAACCTCCTGTCCAGGGATGTACTCCTCCAGGCAGACGGCACAGCTCTCCGTCACGAACCACTGGTCGGTGAAGTTATACTTTCGGGTCTCCATCGACTTCAAAACTCGTTTTGCTATCTGAGTCGCACACGGCTGTCGAAAGTTGTTAGTGTGTGTGTGTGTGTGTGTGTGTTGATGTTGTGTGTGTGTATGAGTGTGATTGCTAGTGGTGTGTGTGTGTGTGTGTGTGTGTGTGTGTGTGTGTGGTTATTGTTGATGTTGTTGTGTGTGTATGAGTGTGATCGCTATTGTGGTGTGTGTGTGTATGTATGTGTTTGTTGCTAATGTTGTGTGTGTGAGTGTGTTTATTGCAACTGTTGTATGGGTGTGAGTATATATGTGTGTGTTTGTTGCTATTATTGTGCGTGCATCATTGTGTCGGATGTTGTTAGTATCTGTGTGCGAGTGTGTTGCTACTGTTGTGCATGTGTGCTTGCGTGTGTGTGTGTATGTGTGTGAGAGAGAGAGAGAAAGAAAGAAAAGAGGAGAGATAGTAAAGAAGAGGACAAAACAAAAACGAAGATAACATAAGGCTTGACTAAAATTAGACGTTGTCTAAATGATTGAATAAACAACTACATAAATGAATGAATAAATGAATGAAAGAACGAATGAATGAATGAATTATATGAATGTAAAAACGAATAACTGAATGAGAGAACGAAAAACGCTTGAAAAAAAAGAGATTGCAAAAGGATTATTAAATTAAAAATCATGGCTAAAAAGCGAAAGTAAAACAGGATATCAATAAGTAAGCTGGCTAATTAGGAGAGCAAATTTTAAAATGTAGTAATTAAATAATTGAAAGAAAGTGAAAAGAGAGAGAGAGAGAGAGAGATAGAGAGAGAGAGAGAGAGATAGAGAGAGAGAGAGAGAGAGAGAGAGAGAGAAACACCAAATTACCTCTTTTTTGTGCCACCTGCCTTTGAACTAAAAGACAAAAATAAGAAAAAAATTATAGGAAGAAATGAGTCATGACAGAATGTTGAAAATTAAGCTTCATTCATTCATTCATTCATTCATTTATCTCTATACGTCCAACAAAAATCCAACATCCAACTGTTCCTCCATTTAATAACTCGTCCATCCATCCATCTAGCTATTCATTCTTTCATTATCCACCCATCCATCCATCCATCCGACTATATTCCTCTACGTACATGCATCCATTCTTGCGTTAGTCAAATTTCTCCCCATCATAAACGACATGATTACATGGGCAGGCATGAACGTAGCTAAGTACATATTAGCACACAAACACACATGTACACACGTGTGGCAAGGAAACGAACACACAGACACACGCACGCACACACACACACACACTCGCACACACACATATATGGGCGTATACACTAACATATACATAAGCACGTGTAGAAGCAAATATGAAAAGTTTACAACTACACAAAATAAAATGAAACAATAAACACACAAACAAACAAAGACACACGTGTAGCGCAAGAAAACGCACACCATACACACACACGCACGCACGCACGCACGCACGCACACACAAACACACGCACACACAAACACACGCACACACACAAGCACACAAAAACCTTGAGAATGGCAGCAATGGAAATTAAACTGAGAACCAGCAAAGTGCCAAGGAATATTGAGATGGTATAATAATCTCTGTGGCCCTCCTGTGTAAAGGAAAAAAAAAGAAAATTTGAAAATAATTAAAAAAAAAAAATTTCATTCACTTTTGGAAGAACTAAAAAAAAACGAAGTTTTTAATGGAAAAATTGTTTTCTAATGATAAAAAAATATTACCCCTTAAAAAATGTTCAGCTGGAAAAGTAGAAAAACAAACATTCAGAAAAAATGTACACTGGTTATAATTGCAAATGGTGATTTCATTTTTGTACAGGTAAGAAAAGAATTAAGGAAGTTTTTTTTCTCTACAAAATTTTAAAAACGAAATGTGAACTTTTGGCGGCAAAATTGAATTTTATATAATCAAATCACCATCTTCATCTATGTAGAGTCATTATCATTGTCATCATCTTTATTTTTTGTTTGTGTTAAATCAATCAATCAATCAATCAATTAATCAATCAATTAATCAATCAATCAATCAATTAATCAATCGATCAATCAATCAACCAACCAACTACACCAAACCTACAACAAAAAGCACAATCAGCATAACCTGAAACAAATGTGAAAAAAGTATGGTAAAACCATCCCACAGTACCAGATTTTCAACTCTCCTCACCTGTTCGTGGGTGCTCTTCTCCCTTTCAAATGGAATGGTGGCGATTTTGCCAACGGCATCGTTCTCCCTGAGCATGAGTGTCCTCAGATGGACTGCCTCCTTCCCTGTCACGAGAACGATCGGCCGACTGACGACTGAGCCAGTTGGAAGCGGTTTCTTCCACTGTGAGTGTACGTGCGTGTGTGTGTGCGAGCGTGATTTAGTGTGTTTGTGTGTGTTATTTAGAGTGTGTGTGTGTATGCGTGATTTAGTGTGTTTGTGTGTGTATGTGAGATTTAGTGAGGATGTGTGTGTTATTTAGTGTGTGTGCTGTGTGTGTGTGATTTTAGTGTGTGTGTGTATGTATGTATGATTTAGTGTTTGTGTGATTTAGTGTTTGTGTGTGATTTAGTGTGTGTTTGTGTGTGATTTAGTGTGATATAATTAGTCAAATTAAGAATAAAATCCCTTTCAACTAAGAACCAAAAGGCCATAGTTTTTAAATATTTTGACTTTCTAAAAAGAATAATTGAGATAAATTAATTCAATTCAACTATCTATAGTTATTTTTTATTGTTTATTTAATAATATTAAACAAAACAAAATTTTAAAAATCTAGCATTTTTTTTAATGGTTTATACAACGATGTTAAATAAATTAATTAAAAAAAAAGAATAATTGAGATAAATTAATTCAATTCAACTATCTATAGTTATTTTTTATTGTTTATTTAATAATATTAAACAAAACAAAATTTTAAAAATCTAGCATTTTTTAATGGTTTATACGACAATGTTAAATAAATTAATTAAAATTTTTGTTATGCCACCTGTTTGGCTCCACTGTCCGAATCGCTGATGTCAACGATGATGGCGTCGGCTCCTTTACTGATGGCCATATTCAACTGAAAAAAATGAAATTTATTTAATTGTTTTTTTTTCTAATTTTAAATGAAATAATGTAAAAAATGTTGGAAAGAATTTTATTGAAATTATTGAAAGAATTGTCACAAAATGATTAAAAAATTTGAGAATAAAATCTAAAATATCGTTTAAAAATAATTGAATGGTACAGAATTGTAGTCAAAAGTTAATATTTAATTGTTTGTCCTCAGAGTAAGTGATCAGGGTAAACTAAAAATAGAAATGAAGAAACACGGACATGTTCGACATTAGGTGAGCAAGAGGATGGTGAGTTGCTGTTGATGACATTGGATGATGAAGAAGAGGATGATGATGAGGAGGAGGATGATGATGACGTGTCATCTGCATTTTTCGGCTGGATAAACATCGCAATCCACGAGATGTTCTCCGTAGGTTTTGTTGACAAAACATCGGTCGGCTCACACCATCGAAACTTTTTGAAATTAAATTTTATTTTATAAATATATGAAAACTGAAGAAAAAATTTTTGCCATGGCTTTCTATTAATGTTAACAATGAAAATGGCTGATTTTTTGAAACTTAAATGCTAGATTGCATGTTGTTCAGTGCCAAAGTGTTATACTTTTTGAGATTTGAGATGTTGCACTTTTCTATTAGGCCAATTTTTTTTTACTTTTGGCTTAACTTTAATGCCAGACACAACTAAATTTTAACCTCAACCAATTCTCCACAGTTTCATATGCATGTTTCATTCAGTTCTTGACTTTATGCCATTCCATTTAGAGATTCTTCTTGTTAGAATTACTAAGTGCTCTCAACGAATCAATCATTGTTAATGCGGGCACCCAACATTATCCAACTCTTTCTTTCATTTTTATCATTTTATATATTCAAGTTGTTTTCTTCAATGATTTCCATTTGTTGCCCATTTTTGCAGTTAAATTACAAAATTCAATCAAATGTCCCTATTGTTCATTCGTCATTTAAGCCTGTCATGAAACCAAATTCTGGGACCTTCTTAGTAGGTGAAAGCTTTAATTTATTCTAAAGGTATATAATATTCAATCCGAAGAAAAATTCAATAAATGAATAAAATAAAAAATACAGAGATCAAATATTTGCATTACGGTTACTTATATATATACAAGTTAAAAAAAATCAATCAAAATTTAGCCACAACAAATTTGTTTTATAAAATAAAAAATTAAAAAAATAAGCAAAAGAGATAAAACTTACTGGCTTCAACAATCCTTTGGCACTGTCGATCGTTCCTAGAGGGGAGAAGATCCCGGTGATACTCTCACCAGGTGGCAGATTGCTGGTGGTGCCATTCCTCTTCTTGCTGAATAAAACAATCTCCACACTTGCCTTGTTATTCACCGTTTTATTCACAATATTCAGATAGAGGCCATTGTTGTTGTTGAAATTGAAAGTTTCTTCAGATAGTGCAATGGATGAGGTCCACATCGACATGAGTCTAGAGCAAAATAATAAGATAGACAGCTCGAACTTCATAATCACTAATCACAGAAATGTAACTCGTAATGACTAATTGTAAATTAGATTTTTAGGGTAAAAAAAAAGTGGTTTAGTTTGGTTTTGGTTGGGTTACCAATGAAGATTGAAATCAAAAGACTAGAATTAATTAGAATCAATATCGTAAAAATCTACGCGTATTAATTTATAAAAAAATTAATTTAAACTCATTTTATATTTCGATTCCTCAACAAAAACGTTTAGATGAATAAATAAATAAATTGTGTGGTAAATAAAACTAAATTATATATAAATCCCAACAACAGAATCGTCCGCCATTTCTATTTTAGCCAAGCATTTTTTAATTTTGCAGCAACTTAGATGTGCCCTGCAAAAATATTTCCATCTGAAAGCGCATTAAAATTAGTTTTGATTTTAATGATTTAATCATTTGATTAATGATTTAATTTACTTTAAATCAAATATTTTTTAATTATTTGTTTGTTATTTGTAGAAAATTTGGTAAAACACAACGGCATTTTATCGCAGCTGTATTACGGAAATTTCTAAGTGGGTTTTTCCATTTTCTGAAAACTTAAGGGCTTTGAGTTTTGACGTAAAATCATTTTCCAATTGTAGAATTTAATTTAATTTTTTGATTTGTTTATTGAAAATTGAAATCCGGTTCGATTATTCTGCTATTAATTAATTATTTAATTAATCAATTTTTGTTTCAACTTCAAAGTAAATATAACCGAGAGGCTGGTACCAACTAATTACTAACTTTTTACTTTAAACTTTTAAAGACAAGAGTTTCTTTTTTAATTTAAAATTAATTAAATAATTTTTGAAAAAATTGCTGGAAATGAGTGGTTTTGAGTTTGACGATATTGACTCTCCAAGGCCAATGAAATCAAAGCTGCCAATCAGTAATAGTCCCCACAACACTAGTCAAACAACTCCCCAAGTAAATCATGGTCTGTCAGTCAATCAATTTTAAATTAAATTTTAGTTTATACTTTATTTTAATTTTAATTTAGTCTTTGATGTCATTTTCAGTGAAAATATTTTATGTTATATTTTATATATTTAATTTGATATTTTATGTTTAATTATTTGTTTATTTGTTTCTTTGTTTTTTATATTTGAATATAAATAAATTATTTCTTTCATAAAACAGAGAAAGAAGCAGATGACTTGAGACTGAAGTTACAAGAAGAATATAAAGAATTAAACTTGATGAGAAACAAGTTAAAAAATGAAAAACTACATTTAGAACGGGCAATAAGAAAGTTAAAAAGCAAAGAAATCAACCCGCAAGGAGTGTTTCAGATGAATTCTCAACCAACAGCATCATCAACTGTGTCTGCTGCTAGCAAAAAGCCTGCAGTCAAGCCCATATGTAAAGAATTACTTTACACATTTACTTAATTTTTTTGCTGCTACTACTACTATTACTACCACTAACGCAATTACTAACATTATTAATTACGTTTTATTATTGTAGTTGCTTATTTGAGTTTACTATTTAAGGCAGTCTTTTTTGACCTTATAAAGGTTAATTTTCATATTAGCAAAATATCCAAAATTTTAAACATTTCATTATCATGAATTTGTAATAGATTAACATAAATTAGTGTATATTAATATTAATTAACCTAAATTAATTGAAAAATTTCAAACTTTGCTACAGTTCCTGGTAGAGATACTGCAAAGAAACCACAAAATTGCTCTGAAGACATTCCCTATGTATATGTGAGAACTGACTGAGTGTGTGTGCGTGTGTGTTTATGTGTGTTTGTGTGTGTGTGTTTTTAGTTTGTACGCTCGTTTATCATATTTCATTCGCTTATTTTTCAAAATGTTTCATTTTTATTAAAATAATTAAAATTGTCGTTTAATAGAAAATCGTTAGTTGTCTTGAAGTGATCAAAAAGTAATTGAAAAAAATCTTTCTTCTCGTTTTTCAGATATGATTTTTTCTTGGTTTTGTCATGGGGATTGTTCTCTCCGTTCTATCCAAGAGTTCTAAGTGCCAGACATAAATATGTACCTGAGTAAAGAGGTGGCAAATCAAGTTTTTCCGCCAAAGACGCCAGACCATAATTTTAAACCTCAAATTTACAACATTAGAAACGCGCTTAATCTGTAAATTGAAATGATCGTTAATAAAAATATATCGACTTGATCAAAAGTCTCGGTATCGAGTATCGGTTTTTTCTGTCTAGAAAAGTAGCGTCGGTATCAAGCTCGGTACTCTGCATCAAAAGTATTGGCGATACCAAGCCAACACTGAAAAAAGAATCGGCCATGGAATATTGCCAATAGCGATACTTCGATTTTAACAAGCCTGACTATAGAATATAAATAACCAATAACAACATTTGAGATGACATAATAAATGAATGGTGCAGTGGGCTTCCATTGTTTTCGAACCACGTGATTTCTCATAAGCAAGCTGCCGTGACGTCATTCCAACGTCATTTCAAATTTCAGGAAGATTTACGTTGCTTTTTATCATTTTTTTATATCGTCAGATTGAGTTTGTGTGTGCGTGAAAGAAAGAGAGAGAGAGAACAAGAGATGATACCAGTTAATATTGCAATAGTGTGTGTGTTCGAGAAAGAGAAAAAGTGAAGAAGATGGAAAAAAAGAAAGGAGAGAGAGAGAGAGAGAGAGAGTTTAGGACAGATTGCAGAACTGGCAATAGCAAATATAGACCGTAGACAGGGTCGGATTTAAGGGGGTCGGGAGGGCCATGGCCCCTCTCCAATTCACTAAAAGTCAGACAGAAATATTTATAATTTTTCGTTTTTAGACACGAATGGTTAGGAACTACGCACCATAATTCAATTATTTTTGGGAGCGTGACGCTGGTACAGTAAATTATGCTGGTAGTTTTTTTACTAAAGGTTAAAGGTTAAAAAAGGTTAAAAGGTTTCTAGATTCTTGCAGTGGAGAATCTAATGGGGCGGAAAGGAACATAGCCTCCGTTGTGTTAAATTTAGTAAAAACTCAATTTTTAGTCAAATCGACCAAAAATTGTCACTAGCCATACTTGTATAAATGTGGTTAGTTTCTTGACCACATGTCAAATTTCCAAATTTAAATATTTTAAAAATGTTGGCCTTTTCTCAGTCAAAGTTGTCTAAATCCGCGACTGACCGTGGATGATATTTTAAAATATTTATAAGAAATTAATGTTCTAAATATGAATGAATGAATGAATGAATGAATGAATGAATGAATGAATGAACGAATGAATGAATGACTAAATGAATCAATCAATCAATCGGTCAATCAATTTGAATTGAATAATGAGACAACATGAGTACAGGATTAAGAGAGGATAGACTACTAAGTTTAACATGAAAATAATTGAATAATATTAATATTTGTTATTATCATTATTATTATAAGTATTATTAATAATTGTATTATTAATATTGTCGTTATTTTTATTACTCATTCGCATTCCTCATTTTGAAGACAAGTAAGCTTAATCCCCGCCGAAGACACAAAAACACGCACACACACGCACACACACACACACACATATATATATATATATAATGCACTATGTGTTTATCACAATCCGTTTTTATTTAAGAAACATTAATATACTTATGGAATTCATGACATATTTAAGCATATAAAAACTGCAGAACTACAAAAATAAACACAGATTCTCTCTCTCACACACACATATACACACAAGACACACACAATAGCACACACACACATAAACATACACACGCACAAAGTTTAAGAAACAAACTCACGCATACAGGCAAACACACGAATAAACATACACACAGACGGAAACAAACAAAGACACACACAAGCAAACTGACAAAAAAATACATAAAGCAATCAAGTAATGTCATAATTGGAATTTACACAATCCCATTCATCCACCAGAATACATACACACACACATACACACACACACACACACACACATACACACACACATATTCATAAAACAAGTTCACACGCACAAACTTAAAATCCGGCTCAAACACACAATGACAACACATAAACAAACACACAGGTAGAAACAATCAAAACACACACATTCGTATAAAAATTCAATCAAACATACAACGAAATGACGTAAACACACACGCATACATACATACATACACACAAAATACACACACATACACACAAAATACACACAAACATACAAACACATACACACACGCAAAATACATTCA